AGACTACAACTGGTGAAATTTATATTTCAGGGTATACTTCCCCTTTAAGTGATGATGTATTTTTTTATAAGTCGGACATTATAAATGAGAAGATCAGCTTGTACATATGCTATATGGGTCTTTCGGCAAGCTGCATGCACAGCACACATGTACTTGCCTGCATTTAAACACAGGCAGGAAATAAATCTATGAAGATTCTCGCTACTTGTAACATTAGGATGGTGGACATCGAAAAAATGAGTTGGTGATAGCTTTGTGAAACGTATTGAAAGTACAGACGACTTTTTACCATATGCACGGATTGAAAACGAAACTTCATCCTTTGTTTAACAATTATTATGTAAAAAAAGAGAAGAAATACATGAGAAAGAGTATGCAGCAACTATCCACGACTGCTGGGTGGTGTGTTGCTTTGCTTCATTGAATTGTAGTCAGACCGCATTGTCATGTTATTAACTGGTCTCGTCATCGTCCTGTAACAGTCGGCATTCTTTGTTGCCGCGGGACTTAGCTTGTGCACATTTTTGCTGCGCTCACCTTCCCCTCTTCAGTCCTACCTAACCACGAACCTTCCAAGTTGGAAGGCTGTTGGTTTGCGCACTGGAGATGTGTTAGAGCTAGGTCTCAGGTCGTCAAATGTCTCAGTAGCCTGTCAGTTTTGTGCCCTGTCATCGCACCGTTTCTGACTGCTTATTATCTTACTACAGTAGTGGATAGTTGCTTCGTAACTCGTTCTCATGTATTTCTTCTCTTTTTTTACATTAATTATTACTGGCTCTGTATCCGAATTTAAATTATTATGTACATAACACCATACTATCCATATCAACAGGACACTTGGAATACTCAGTATGACATATAATCACTTTACCTGAAGAGCTCGGATTTTGAGCCAATGTAATCATGGAAAAGGGAAAGGACAACATTTTTACTAGTTATGACCAAGTGTCCAGCAGTTCAACCAGATAATAATTATACCGTCAGCAAGTACGACAACAGGGCACAAAACTGACAAGGAGTACTGAGACATTCAACGACCTAACACCTCACTCCAACACATCTGAGAGGTGCGAACCAACAACCTTCCGACTTGGGAGGCTCAAGTAAGGAAATATCCAAAGAGGGGAAGGAAAGCGCAACGAAGATGAGCACATGCTCTGTTCCACAGCAACAATGAATGCCGAACGTTATTGGATGAAGACGATATTAGTAAGACACTTGGTCGTACCGATTTTACTACAACCCAACGACGCAAAGTAACAGACCACCCAAATTGGGAGGTTCGAGTTTATATGGTAAACATGGAAGGGGAATGGACTCAGATGGATAGCCAAGGTTTAATTTATGCAAAAGAGAAAGACCAAGGAACTACAAGTTACGCTATACTGTCCACTAACAGCACCAGTTACACAGTGTTGTGCAGTGTTATCGCATGAGCTGATTGTTTAGTAACTGGTGGTGTTTGTGGACAGTATATCGTAACTTGTAGTTCCCTTGTCTTTCTCTTTTGCATGGAAGGGGAAGCTGAGCATTCCTTGTCAGTTTTTCAGCTAAGTACTCCTTGTCAGTTGTTTGCCCTTTTGTCACACTTGCTGACGGTATAATTATCTGGTTACATAGATGGACATTTAGTCATAACTCATAACATGTGCTTTCTCTAATTACCTGAGGAAAACGACGGTTGATATAACCAGCAGCCTTGCCAGCGGCATGTCGGACAATTTCCATTACCTACATTGCCAATAGAACACACAGGAAAGACAATGACAGATGTAAAAGTAGGAATAGGGAAGAGGAGAGAATCGTCCGTAGAGAAACATGGTTGAAGTGAAGTGAGGTGCCAGGAAAGACGGTCACGGACAGGGTAGCATGAGCAGAAGGAATACTTTTCTTTGTGGCTATTAACTTTATATACGTGTATTCGTAGTACATATACATGTAGGTTCACAGAGAATACTAAGCTAGAATCCCATCACAGGACATCACACCCGGCCTTGTTATCAATTTTGCGTCCCATAATTCTTTTTAAATATTATTGCTGGAGTGCGCGATTCAGTATGAACTCGAACGTCTCTTATCCGGGCTCCTTGGGACTGTGCACCGCCCATATCTCAGATTTGCCCGTATCTCAGGACAGCTCGTCTACCATGTGAGCCTGGATCAGCAAAAACCATCACATGTGTAAAAAAAAATTTCACGGTTCGCGTGAGACTCGGCCAAAGGCCCAGTTTTCCGCATCCGCAGGAAATCCACCACATGTGTAAACTTTTCAAAAAATATTTTGTGCTCCAAATTGATCCACAACTACTGATATCCAGTCTCAAGAAATTTTAGATCAATCACAGCAATATTTGCCCACAGCACCGTAAGTGGGCAAATATTGCGGTACACCACACCTCTGCACAAAAGTTCGAAGTGGCATTTCTGTGTAAGATACATGTATGAGCATTGGTATGTGTCTGATCCTGTTAGGCCATGGCATCACTCAACTGGATAAGAAGGAAGAATTTTATAATCCTTGGGGGTGTACTCAGCCACTTGTTTGTCCAAGTAATTAATTGGCTTCACTGACTATAGCGTATCTAAGGACATATGACCAAGAGAGTTCCAGGGGCTGATATTGCATCCACACCAGGCTCTGTACTGATGCTCTCCAAGCCCATCACTTCCATGAAAACATATCTGCACACACGGAGTGCAATCCTAGTGGCTGTGACTACTTAGCACACAGGATCATAAGCTACATACTAGTACTAGGTGTAGATACAATCATCGTCATTGCTACCTCACCCAACAGGAACATATTTTTGAATTGTTTTGGGAGCTGGTGCATGGACCAAAATACATGTTTCAAGCAACAAGTTGCTCAGCGTCCAAGCCAATGAAGCAGATCTTGTCTTGCGCTAGTACTCGTTGCTCTTGCAGTCGTGAATCGAGACGCCTTTGCTCTGCATCGTCACTGTCGATTGGCGTCAATGAAGATCGATGCGCGTGCGATACTCGCGTCCTGCGGTCGTACTTATTCGCCCGCCAAGCGCAGGTACGTGTGGTTTCCCAGTCGTGTCTCCTCACTTGCCTGGGGCTTGCCTAGCTAGCTAGTCACTGACAAACAAACAAACACTGGCTTGTCAGGCAGAAGAAAGACTAGTCACAAGAAAGACAGAAAGGTGATGGCTTAGTTGTTAGGTCCACGACATTTCTTTCGCTCGACTTCACTTTTTGATCAATCTGATATCAAACACAAGCGTTTTCGCTGATCCGGGCTCATGTATTATACCAGTTTTGAAGAAGTTTTTTTGGCACATTTTCCGCGTATTCAGGATAAAGAAAATAGTGCATTGATGAAAATGTGTGGATTCCACAGGTGGGCTGTGATAAATTGACGCTAGTGTACACGAAAAATAATTCAAACCCCCAAATTCGAAGCAGTTTTGCCATAGGAACTCAAGCTAAAGGTGCCCGGTAGAGAGGCGTGCCAGTACCTGAGGCGTCTGGATAAGAGACGTTTGAGTGTACTCATTGATATTAACCCTTTCAGCACGGCCAGGGTGTGTAACTGACCCGCGGAGCCAAAACCAGTGATTTTCGTGATTTTCCAAAAGTAGTCCTATTCACTCACAATTTTTTCTGCGGAATGCATGTTCGCACGCGACATCTATGTACTAGTACGCGTGCATAGCGGCACACGTGCGCCCGTCAGTACTATCGTAGAACAGTCGACGTTCATCCAGCACGTCACTGGTCCACGTAGGGGTAAGATCCGTCGACCACGGATGTCTCGGGAGTACGTTCATTTTCACTGTACGGATCACGTATATATACGTGATCCGTGGGCCAGTTACATGTACCATCACGTACATATACGTGATGCGTGCTGAAAGGGTCAATATTTGCAACTATTGCATCCTTTCCGCAGTCTTAGTAAACTGCATTGCAGCCATTCATACATTATTGCACTCATTCCAAACACCCACACAGGGACGTTTCTGCTGCAAACGCCACATTTGGGTCACTAAATGTTTGGGCATAACCCATCATTAGTTTGAACCGGTAACCTGATACTGAGCCAAGCCTGAATATTTGGTGAATAAAAAGCCGTGTTTGCAGCAGGAAGACAATGTATAAGTGCCTGGAGGGAAAGATAGTGATATTGTTACCCCATTGGTTACGCAAGATTTCGAATGGGAAATTCACTTTGATGTATTTTCTTTTCTTCTAAGTTGCGCTTACCTTCTCCTGCTCCTCTGGGTACTTGCTCTCAAGATGGCGGATAATAGCCCTTAAGCTAGGTATAGCTTGGCCGAAGATATAATTTGCTACTGCAGATTCCAGGCATGTCCTGTTGTTCTGGTAGAATGAACAATGGTAAATCAACAAGAAAGTGAAACAGACCTCTTAGTAAACATTGTACATAGCTCTGTAAACCAGAACAGCAGTTGATTTTGAATACTTTACAGATTCAAGAAATTAATTTTATACAAAAGAGAAAGACCAAGGGCAAGGAACTACAAGTTACACCGTACTTTCCACTAACGCCACCAGTTACTAAACAATCAGCTCATGCCATAACATTGCACGACACTGAACGACGGTACTGACGTTCTACAACTAACTGGCTAACAGCTCTAGCACATCTTGGATGCGCACTCCAACAGTCTTCCAACTTGGCAGGTTCTAAGTTATAGAAATAACATAAGGAGGGGAAGGTGAGCACAACCAAGATAAGCATGAGCTGAAAGTCTCAGCTGTGAAGGACGTTGGCGGATGTTCATGCATGTCGATGACGATACTGGCAAGCATTGGACAATACGGTCAAACCACGATTTGAGAACGCAAAGCAACATTCCACACAACTTGTGTGGCTCAAAAGATGCAAAGATCAATAAAAAGGGAAGCTATGCGAACAAGAATCATGAAAACCCGAACGCCTCAGTAAAACAACACTGTACTTCGACTATGACAATTACTTCCTCCGCATCATCGAAATTGTCGCAGTTTGACTAGTGACTTGTCACTTGTTACTGACAACTCCATAAACTAAGCCATTCAAAACTTATTACACAGTATGATAGTCTGAAGACTAGAGTAACGTTCCAGGACAATTGGACTGAGAGTTTTCATGCAGAGATGAAGTCCTCGTCGTCGCTGATGTCAATGGACGCAAAAATATCGTTCCGAAATATTTCAAGGAAGGTTGAAAGTTGGTCGCGCCTCATCTAAAACGCTTTGACTTTCTCCACAGGACAAGAGCTGCTACGCTTGTCATCTGCTAGCTCTGGATGATTTCTACTTCACCACCAACGAAGCCTAGTAAGAATACACGATCGTTGCGAGGTCGGTTGATTACCGTCGGCGGAATCACCTCGGAATCACCTCGATCTTGAAATGAACTTTTTTTAGCCGTGGCATGCCCACAGCTCATGCAGGTAAGTGTAGTATCACGTCTCTTTTTCAGCATCACTGGTATACCATGGTACGGCACCTGCGCGTGCATCACTAGCATTACGTGTAGAGTCTACACGGCTCTTGCAGGTACAATCATGTACTAGTACTGAGTGTCCCAGCCAGAGCGACACATTTTATCGCTGTTGCAGGCATTTAGTTCGCCGACCCCTCGATGTTTCTCCAAGCGCTGCCACTTGTTCCACGAAGTCATTCTCACCCCAGCTAAGGTAAAACAGTGATGGGGCTTGAGTGAATGGCCATAAGCACGAGAAATGTGCAGGCTGCAACGCCTGACTGATCTCAGCGAGTCGAAATTACCAGCGCAGCGACATCACCGAAGAAATTGCGTCTAGTTCAAAAATTCCAGCTTCCAATAACAGAAAATAGAACTTTGCCGTCACCCTATACTGATGACTATCGCTTATGTCCGATTCCTTGCCTCTGGTACGAGTGCTGGTGAGTAAATACCGCGTTTTACACCAAAAGTCAAACTGCGACAATTTCGATGACGCGGAGGAAGTAAGATGGACAATAAGCAGCGGTAACAAGCAGAATCCAAGATGTGCTAGAGCTGATAGCCAGTTAGTTGTAGAACATTGGTACCGTCGGTCAGTGTTGTGCAATGTTATCGCATGAGCTGATTGTTTAGTAACTGGTGGCGTTAGTGGACAGTATGGCGTAACTTGTAGTTCCTTGGTCTTTCTCTTTTGTATAAAATAAATTAAACCTTGGCTCTCCATCTGAGTCCATTCAAGAAATTAACCCTTTCCATGCCGGGGCCCCTTTTCTCCAATCGGCCGGCTGTCCAGTGCACTGACTCTCTTGGTGTAGTTTGCGCGCACAGCTCTGAATGGAATTTATTCTCATTTCACTCCACCATAATGGATTTTCATCATCCTGGGCTCGTTGGAAAGATCAGGACCAAGCGAATCCATCATGGTAGATCTCAGCAACATAGACACACCAGGGCCACTTCCACCTCCTCTCCGAACTACTCCACCGTGCCTCGGATCGGCACAACAACTCAATCTCACGTTCTTGTTCGGCATCTTGCCCAGATCCAACCGGTTTTCACGATTCGAACTGCGCTGCAAAGCTGAGATCCAAGCGCTTCATTTGATGTCCATCATGCATGCGTCGTGCCAAAGGGAAATCCCCTAGCACGCTCCAAAAAACTGCGAAGTCATGAACAAAAAATTCATGTTCGCTCCGGGCCGTGATTTTGGTGTTCATCCTGTCGCCGCTCAGTGATTCTTTATCCCATCGCGACGAACGTTATATCCACGGAAAGATGAGCTCAAGACCTTTCCAACGGTGTATTGATTGTCGCGATGCGTTTATGTTTCACAGAGTTACGATAGTTTGTACACGGGTCTATGCACTGAACAAAAAAATTCGTGTTCGCTCCGGCCCGTGATTTTGGTGTTCATCCTGTCGCCGCTCAGTGATTCTTTATCCCATCGCGACGAACGTTATATCCACGGAAAGATGAGCTCAAGACCTTTCCAACGGTGTATTGATTGTCGCGATGAGTTTATGTTTCACAGAGTTACGATAGTTTGTACACTGGTCTATGCACTGCAATGTAACGTGCGCACGACGAGGACGAGATATCTCGTCCTTGGCCAATCGCGTGGGGGTCTGTAGGACGACTTATCTCGTCCTTGGCACTGAAAGGGTTAATGACTTTTATCATGCCGGTTTTGAGAGTTATCCCAACTCCCATTAACACATTATAATAGCGGAGCCAAGCTATGGCTTGTGATCAGAAAATTGTACAAATTCTTTTTAAATGCATACTTCAAGTATGGTATTGGCCAGAGAAAATAATGTAATTCGTCATTGGTTGATTCGCGTTGTTGAGTTGTAGTTAGACCAGTTTGTCCAATGGTCTTACCAATCTCCTTATCCTCTAGTAGATTTCGACGTTCTTTGCTCCCGAGGGATATACCTCGTGCACATCTTTGTTGCATTATCTTCCCCTCATTTGACCTTTATGCACGTAAGGCTTCCAAGTTATGATCTTGCATTTGAAGGCCCTATTTAAATATTGTGGCCAGCTGTCTTTGATGGTACGGTACGGGACAGATACGGGATAGCGCCAGGCGTGACACAAACAAACTAACAAACAAATACCAAATTAAGGCCTCATTTACACGTCAATGATTGAAGCACGTTTTTCAATCTTTTTCGAAACGTTTTTGCTGTTTACACGAAAACGATTATCGTGTACACTGCAACACGTTTTTCGGCGCGCAATGGTCACGTGCAATAAGTTGGCCTGGCGCGGTATGTTTTGAGTACAAGGCTCGTACTAGTAAAACGTTTTTGCCGTTTACACGAGAACGAAACGGAACGGAAACGATTGAAAAACACTTTGAAGGCTGTTTTTCGTTTGAAACGTTTTTGAAACGTTTTTGAGCGTTGTCGTGTAAACGCTCTGATCAAAATCTGTGGAAGCGTATTCTTTTGAGAACGTTTTTGACAAAAAAGGTTTTCAATCGTTGTCGTGTAAACGAGGCCTAAAGCTATGTGGACCCTGGCTAGCGCCATACGTTACTGAAGTAACGTCTTCTGCATAGCTACGGGAATAAAACTAATTGTGCACTCATGACGTCATGAGCCATAACCATGTACATGTTAAAATAATTTAGTTTTTCTGGTGAATGGTCACCGTTTCCGATTGGAAGAAGTCCTTTCTTAGGAATTTGACGAAATTATTCATCGACTAATTGTCTCTGCTTGTAAAACACACGGATTGAGAGTGAGTAGATATTGCAGCAGCCGAAATATCTTCGCGTTTGAATTGCCGGTGCTGCGCTTCACTACGAACAATACAATACCATGAGGACAAATGTGAGCACACGAGACGGAGTACTGTACATCAGCAGAAGCCTTTTCCAATAAATCGTTACGGGTTAGGTCTGCTGTACTACTAGAACTCAGCGCACACCTTCAGTGAAACTTGGGGACTGAATGGGAGATGCTTACCTGACTTCAAGCCAGGGAGAAGCACCTGCTCCCGATAACGGCCGGGTGGTTCCTGTCCGGCGTCCGCTATTCTGGTAACGTTGACCCGGACGATTGGTAGTCCCACAAATCTAAACGCCACCTGCCGATGGCCAGGTAACGATCGAAAGCGCTTCACTTCCGCAACCAGATTGCGACGGAGCGTCACTCAAACTCCCAGAAAATAACAATATGAAGGGCCGCAAGCAGAACACGCATCCGCCCAGAACACCCACAGACGGCAACGAGCAAGAAAAAAACGATTCCGCATTCAACTGAAGCGCGGACGGTGCCAGCAGTCCAAGATCCTCTCTACACGTTCGTTGCACGCTCCAGCGGCCAGAACTCTGTGGCTTATCTGTCTGATCTGGCAAAAGTTGTAGATCTACGCGTAGATTATGTACATATACATGTACATGACTGTCCAACATGACATCAGATTCTACTGCCTGCTCCACGCTACATAAGTACAGTGCTGCTCGTGTACTGTGTAGACTGTCTGTAGATGTAGGTCTACATAATCATTGTGGGCCGATCTTTCTGCTGATGCTCCCACACCAACTCCGAAATGAAGCCGACAGTCTGTGTCGCCAGAGCAGAGGCGGACTAGCTGTTCAAGTGTCATCACATGCAACACAGTGCTAGTGAGCGATGTCGCCTGTAAGGCTGTAGACCGTACTGGCCTAGCGCCTGTTTGTTCACCCACGTACACATCACGTGGTACATAGCCGGGCTAGATCGTAGTATACTAGCTACTGGCCTGTTTGTTCACCCACGTACACGTCACGTGGTAGATCTACACAGCCGGGCTAGATCGTAGTAGTACGTAGAAGCAAGGCAGGGCAGAGGAAATGAGATCCTTTTTTTACAGGCAGTAGCTACAGCCAGTTCAAGGCCAAAGGCAAAGGGCGTAAAAAGGCTGGCGGCATCCACAGCAGCACTCTACATAACACATCATCATCATACAGGTACATTGTACTCAGAAAGTCCTGAGCCGCTGGCGTTTGTGTTTTTTAAATTTTATTTCGGCCAGTCGGCTACTAGTACTACATGTATCATAATCGTCTTGGGGGTTAGACAATGGGAAGAAGTCATGTAGGGGCGTGAGCCCGCCTTTCAGCACCGGAAGAGGACCCACACCTTGATCTGGTGAGCTGCGTCGCGTTTTGTTCTTCTCTCCCTCGCCCCCCACTCAGCTTCTGTATTTTCCTGGTCTAAATAGTACACCTATTAAAGTTGTTAACGAGCACAAGCACCTGGGCGTTATTCTCGACCGCCAACTCTCCTGGTCTCCACAAGTCCAGTCTGTATGCAAGCGTGCGAGTGCGTCCTTAGGTATGCTACAACCCCACTGCCAACACTTGAATGATAACTGCAGAAAATTGTTCTTTAAGTCGTACATTTTGCCTATATTTGACTATTGCGATATAGCTTGGTGCGGGTTGTCTCAGACTTTACTCCGCAGACTGGAAGTACATCAACGCTTGCTTCTGAAAATTCTGTTTCGAAAAGACCAAACATTTGCCTCCCTTTGTCTTTATAAACTTGCTTCCACGCACCCTCTTCTTGCCCGACATCAGCAGCATCTTTGTATCCTTGTGCAAAAAATCTTCCTAGCCCAAGTCCCGAAACATATTGCCAAGTACAACTGGTTTGTTACCACTAGACCAACACGCAATGCCTTATCACTGCCCCGAGCTAGTTCCTCTCTGTTTTTGAAATCCCCTTTCTTCTCAGCATACTCCCCCTTTGGTCTAACCTGCCTACTAGCATTAAGACATGCCAGGATATCAGGAAATTCAAAGTCCAGCTTTCCACACTGTCTCACCCGAAGTGATCCCATGTATTACTAATGTGCCTCCCTTTCTTTTTCTCTCCCTATCTCCTTTCCCTCTCTGACAGCATCTTTCTTTTTCTCCCTTTTAGCTTGCCATGGTTGGCTATCACCTGACCTCTCATGTTTATTGGCAGTCTTCGGACGGGCCAGGAGATGTTGAATAAATAAATAAATAAATAAATAAATAAATAAATAAAATCATGCTGACTGAGGCTACGCCTTTTCACAGTTCGGCCTCCACAAAAGGCCGCGGTCACACATGACAAGTTTGTACCGCTTTTAAAGGGGAAGTTAAGGCAAAAATCAAATTTTCACCAGTTGTAGTCTTCGGGGTGCTGAGTCGAATGGTCTTGGTCCGAGAAAGCTGAGACGCTCCCTTCCTACTTGAAAGTTGAAGTTGAATCCCAATTAGGCCTTGACGGATTATGCTAGCATAATTTTTCGCATAATTCCTACCAAAATCGAATAATCGCATAATTCGAGGCAAATTGCATACAAATCGCATAAAATTGTAATAATCCGCCTGTTCGCATCAAATTCCATACAGTTGTACATGTTCTACAAGTACAAGTAGATGCACTAGGAAGTTGTAGGTTTACGACTCCCTTGATAACATTTCCAGTCCACTACAATCAGTGATGGGCGTAGCTACATGTAGGTCGGACGGTGCGTTGACCCTGTTGAACTTTTGCTACTACAGTACAACGCCTTCTACAAAAAAAATCCCCTGTTATTTTGCACAGAACCATTATGCATTAGCAGCATATGTGAGCATAATGCGGCATAATAATGATAACTTTTAGCATCAAAATAGCATAATTCTGCAATTTTTTCAGCAATGCGAAAAGCATAATTTCACGACAATATTAGCATAATCCGTCAAGGCCTAATCCCAATCGAACTCGCGCACTTCCACCGAAACTGGGTGACTGCGCCCTACTAGATGGGGATTTGTATGCAAAATGTCACTTAAAGCGCCATTTCGTTCTTATAAAAGCACGGATGACCATGATTGGCCCAGATGTTGTAGTCTTTTGGACGCTGAGTCGAATGGATTTGGTCCGAAAAGGCTGCGATGCAGCGTTCCTCCTTTATTCCCAATCGAACATGGTTGAACAAGCGGTCACGTGCTCCTGCGTACACCAGTCACCTGGTCACCGTGCCTGCAGGGTACAACTTACTAGCCTGTTTGACCTTTTTTGGGTGCAGTCCTGTCACCTGGTCACTCGAGTTGAACTCGAATGATCCTCCTCGAATGATCCTCCTTGAACGAACAGACTCCTGCAATGTTATGAGAGTTCTCCCATTAATATTATCACTTTTTTCTTTTTAACTGGTTTGAGGGAAAGAGACAAACGGGAAAAGTCTGAAGAAAAAATTGACTGTCACCACCAGGACTCGAAGTCGAACCAGGGACCCTCGCTTGTAGCCAGCGATGCTCTAACCACTGAGCTATGGTGTAGTCGTCATCCCAGCAGAGACCGTTCAACGTTTTCTTCAGACTTCGTAACTCACACTTCCTGTGAATCCACACAGGCGGGTGGGACGCAGCCCTCACTGTAACCCACACACTTAACGTACAAACTAGCACGCGGGGAGCCCCAAGTCATAAAATATTAACTGGTTTGAGGGAAAGAGACAAACGGGAAAAGTCTGAAGAAAAAATTGACTGTCACCACCAGGACTCGAACCAGGGACCCTCGCTTGTAGCCAGCGATGCTCTAACCACTGAGCTATGGTGTAGTCGTCATCCCAGCAGAGACCGTTCAACGTTTTCTTCAGACTTCGTAACTCACACTTCCTGTGAATCCACACAGGCGGGTGGGACGCAGCCCTCACTGTAACCCACACACTTCACGTACAAACTAGCACGCGGGGAGCCCCAAGTCATAAAATATTAACTGGTTTGAGGGAAAGAGACAAACGGGAAAAGTCTGAAGAAAAAAATTGACTGTCACCACCAGGACTCGAACCAGGGACCCTCGCTTGTAGCCAGCGATGCTCTAACCACTGAGCTATGGTGTAGTCGTCATCCCAGCAGAGACCGTTCAACGTTTTCTTCAGACTTCGTAACTCACACTTCCTGTGAATCCACACAGGCGGGTGGGACGCAGCCCTCACTGTAACCCACACACTTCACTTTTTTCTTTTTTCGTATTATTAGTTTGTTTCTTTTGTTATGATTTCTTGTGTTTTTCACTCGGCTTTATTATCATTTAAGGTGGCAGGCTACCTTCGGCGCCAGCCGATAACATACATGCATTCAAATGTCTGTAACATTTGCATCCCTCAAAAAAAAAGTTGAGCTCGAGTTGAACCTTGGTGTGAAAGTTGTCGCCTGCTGGCGTGGTGACCAGGTGATTTGGGCACCCAGGAGCACGTGACCGCTTGTTCAACCATGTTCGATTGGGAATAAAGGAGGAACGCTGCATCGCAGCCTTTTCGGACCAAAACCAGTCAACTCAGCGTCCGAAAGACTACAACATCTTGGCCAATCGCGGTCATCCGTGCTTTTACAAGAACGACATGGCGCTTTTAGTGACATTTTTGCATACAAATCCCCATCTAGTAGGGCGCAGTCACCCAGTTTCGGTGGAAGTGCGCGAGTTCGATTGGGATTCAAGTAGGAAGGGAGCGTCTCAGCTTTCTCGGACCAAGACCATTCGACTCAGCACCCCGAAGACTACAACTGGTGAAATTTGATTTTTGCCTTAGCCTCCCCTTTAAAGGGGAAGTGCATCGATTTTTCAAGTAGGGCTCAGATGAAAGACAATTTCATATCGGTTCCGATCAGGGAGTAGTAAAATACAGGGAGGTGACATGCCACTAATCGTGATTTTTGATGGGTGCCTCGCGCTTGTTTTCTTTTCTTTCGCAAAAAAATATGATCTGCTGAATCAATCTTGAGTATTTGTCGAAGAACTAATTCCGTGAAAGGTCTATCCATCTCATGGAACAGCATTTGTTTTGCTCTTGTGATACGTCTGTGTCATCGTCATATGGAAAGGTACCACCCTTCCGAAATTCGTCCCGATCGACGGCATGGAGCAATAGAACGAAGGTGATTTCCTTGAGAACAATACGTGTACGATTGGAGATGAAAAGCGAGTGCACCGATTTCGAAGTCGAAAAAATCTCTAGGACACCACACGATCGGCACTAATTTCTTCTCAGTTGTGATCAACCAGTACTTCTCTACTTTCTTTGTGATGATGAGCATTTCATATTATGGTATGCTAGAGATTCGGGAGTTCACTTTTCGGAATGAAAATTAATGTTCCTAAGTTTGTCAATGATTGAAATGCGGGCTACGTCGTCGTAAACAGCTTGTATCGACACAGGAAAAATCTACGGCGCGCAGGGATATCTCCCAAAGTGATACCACTCTTGCTGGACTTCTATCCTGACATAGTAGTAGTTTGGTCGACTAC